ATGGGTGAATATTTTTGCATAAGTATCATAATTTATATCTCCAGATCAGATTTTTAAATTTCTCATAATATCTAAGATATTGAAGACCCCTTTAAGTACTTTATCCCTTAGCTCACTGAATCTTCAGAACACTAAGATACAGGAAGGCACTGCCACTGTCCCCCTTTTTATAAATGTGACTGAGACTTAGATGAATATAGTACTTTTTTAAAAAATGTATTTAGGACAGGATCTACAGAGTCTCCCTACCCAGATTGGACTTACAGTTATTCTCCTGTTTTCAGCCTCCCACGCCCTGGGATTATAGGTATGCGCCACTATGCCCAGTCTCAATTGCTGTCTCAGCGTGCCCTGGGGGTGGGGCCATCAAGGCACGCTGGGGATCAAATCCTGGCCACTGCCCTCTGCTGAAGCAGGCGCTTTCATCCACTGAGCTATCTGGCCAGCCCTGAGTACAGTACTTTTAACAAAATCTAGTAATTGCTAAGTAGCAGCGATGTGAGCCCAAGTCTTTCTAAACCATGCTCCTACAAAATCAGTTCCTTGTTCTATAACAGAAGTTGCTTAGCTCATAGTATCTACCTCTCTCACATTGTTGAAACAAAATCCCCAACACCCAAAGTTAAAGGTGGAAAGGTTTCTTCAGCTCACAGTTTGTAGGAGTTTCAGTGCATAATCAGTTGGCTCCAAGGCAGGGTGGTGGCAGAGGGGCAGTGAAGAGAAGCAGCAGTTCCTGGCAGGGAGAAGATTGCAAAGCAAGCAAGAGAAAAGACAAGCCTCTTTTTGCCTCTTATATTGTAGGCAGGCTACTGTGATTAGGGTGGTGTCACACCAATCAGTGGGCTGATTTAGTAATTACCTACCCTTCATCCTAGCAGGCTTAATCCTAGTACCCTTAATCCTAGCATTGCACCATGAATCCATCACACACTCTTGATTCGGCTACCTCTGAAAAAGCCCCACCTGTGATCACTGATGCTTTGGGGGACATCTAGACATAAGCCGTAATAGTATTCTTCTCTACAGGGGCTATGTTTTATGAAGAAAGGGCTTTTATGATATCTGTTCCCTTCTTATTCTGATTGGCATTCATCCTGCTTGACTCCATGCGTCACCATCTTAATCCATATCTTCTCATCTCATTTCACATAACGTGAAATACAGCTTCATTATTGCCTATTACCCTCAATATGCAAATGAGAAAATAAGGCTAATGAGAGACAGAATAGATTCAAATCCAGGTTCACATAACAGGAAGCATTTTCTCCTCTTCCTCTTCCCCAGTGCCCTGTCCCATAAAGGCACTGGGAGACTCTGATGGGTGCCTTTGCTGGCTTGCCTTGTGCTTCTCTGGTTTCTTGGGCCCGAGAACACCGTGGCTCCCCACCCCCACTCCCACCTCTGTTTCCCTGTCAGTCATCTTTCCATTATGCCCCTGTTTGTAAGGCACATGGGAGAGTGAGGCCTGCAACTAGAAATGTGAGCCATCAATTCCCTGATGGCAGCGGAGTCAGGACCACTGTCATTGCTGAGTGACCCACCACTCTTCTTGTCACCTCTATTCAAGGAGACAAAAAGCATCCTGCCAGGACCACAGTTTGGCTCCTGTGAGCAGCACTGATCAGGGTGAGAGTGGTAAGGGGGCCGAACAGTCTTTCGAGGGGGATTGTAATGATGATAACAAAGATGATGCTTGCTTTGTATAAAGCTGGGAGTTGTGTGCACAAGTGTGTGTGTGTGTGTGTGTGTGTGTGTGTTTTCTGGCCTAGAAAGTATTGTACATATTTCTGGGGAGCTCCATGCAAAGAAATCCAGCATTTAACTGCTGCACACATCAGACCCTTATTTGCTTTTAGATAACCAGAAATGGTTTTCAGTGTATTTGAGAAATGGAAAGGTACAGATGGTTTGCACTGGGGCATGGTTTCAAATTTAAAGAGGATTATGGTCCATGAACCCCAGAAATGGTGGGGTGAGGTGTGAAGCTTTGAAACTGTAATTGCAGACCAGGCTGAGGAGGTATGTACTTACCACAGCACACTATCTCATTGTTCACATATTCTTTTCTTGGCCGGATGAGGCAGAGGAGGAGGAGATACATAACATAATCTTCAAATGAAACTGAAACAGCAATTGATGGTAGCAGTTTGTACTCTCTGGCGAATTCAGTCAAGAAAGAAATCCCCAGCTGTTTACCATCACGGCTGGCTTAGCTTGTTGTAGTAATCTTTATTCCTTGCATCTGCATTGCTGAATCTATACACCAGTTGGCTCCAATCCAGAAGGCTCGGTATGGTCATTCGGACACACTTGCTCCTAATCAGGGTCACACTCAGGCCCAAGGTGACCAGATATTAGGAGAGAAAGCTCTGGAACCTGGAAACTCGAGGCTTCCCAGAGTTGAGGCAGTTATTTATCAACTCTGTGCTTTTAATCACAGCTCATATTTATTATTTTCTATATGCAACATACAGAGGATGTGAAGAGTTAACGAAGCTTAACGAAGGTGACAGGTGCTATGTGGTATCTTGTAATACAGGGAAGGATAAAATAAATGCAAAAATCAAAGTCTGGATTTATTTTTAGCCTATAGGAAGCAAAACCATTTTGAAATGAGCCTAAGTGCTTGGTGTGGCATTCTGGATGCTTTGTCGGGGAGTATGTCGATACTGAGCCTCACAGAGTTTAGTCCCAGCTAGTAGGTGCCATATTTGTTCTGAGTCTACGACCTTCCAGAGGCAATGGAAAAAGAGAAGGAATTTCCTCCTTGGTGGCTTATCCTCCAAAAGCCCAAGTTTTGCAGCGGCTGCACTCAAGCAAGTGACCTCCAGGTCCCTATCTTCAGGGACTTGCTGTCTCCGTCTGGAGCCTTCCTCAGACCTTCAAATTCTATGACCAAGCTATGAAATTACTAACAAAGAGAAAGTGGGTGGCTATCAATTTTTTAGAAACTGCCTAAGTGGATTTCTCAACATTTCCCTTTGCTAGAGAAGAGCAGTTGTGTGTGTTTCCTTATGAAGTTCTTCCTTTAGTTTGCTGAAATACTGCTTCCTGGAGCAGGGTCCCCTGGAGGACACAGAGGAGCCCCTCGCTGGAGGCACAGTGTAGGTGGGGCAGGGCCAGGGCCAGTGGAGGGAGATAAACCTCTCAGGCTTTCAGAATGACTTTCTTGTGCGGAAAGCATGTTTTGATTCACTAACATGCAACTGCTCCAGCTTCCTGGGGTGGAGCCCCTATCTTTCACCTTCATGCAAGGCATCTGAGGGCCAGAGAGCTCATAGCCAGCACGGTATCTGTCTGGCTCAGGCTCCTTTCCTGCTACCTTGTGAGAGAGGCTTTTTCTGCACATGTTTCAGAGTTTAAAATGTATACTCTAGTTGCTGTTGCTGTCCTTCTGGTAAGCTCCACGAGAACTGGGGCATTGTCATCACTGAATCTGCAGAGCATATGGTAGGCTCTTGCTAAGTGTTTGTTGACAGCGATGCTACATTCCCATGTGAACTGCAATCACGGACTTCATGCTAGGTGCAATTCCAGCCCTCCAGCCTTGGGCTGTAGCCCAGGCTTCAGGACTAGGTGACAGACCCGTAACTATACAGCTCATCCTGGGAGGCCAGAGATTTTTGGCCTAATGGACAAATTGCTAAAACCACCTACAGGACACATATTAAGGGGGCTTCGCTAACGTCCAACTGTAACACCTAATCCTGAGGTCACCAGCGAGGGCACGAGTTTGTTTTCAGCCCCACCCCCACCCCCCGGGGGTTTGAACCAAGGGCTTTCACAATGAGATGCATCCCAGCTTTTATTTTTAGACAGGGTGAGGCTAAATTCTACTGCGGTAGAACTTGTGATCCTCTCGCCTCAGCTCCCGTAGTGCTGCTTTTTTTTTCCCTCCTGGATAAAGCCAATTACATTCAGTCAATGGTGAGAAATTAGATGGATTCTTTGAACTGTAATAGATTGAGCTACTTTTGAAAATAGCCTTTTACAGGGGTCGAGGAGTGAAGTATCTGTTGGTACTTTTTCAGTTGAAATTTGGCTTCTGCTTAGCGTTGAGCACCATGTGCACCGGGGACGTGCCTTTTACAGTCCCTTACCCTCTTCTTTCCTCCCGATTATTTTTAAAAAGTGCAAATAAAAAGGTAAAGATAATGTAAAAATACAAACACCTTTTCATTTGTCACCACTCAGCCTTCCAGCGACCTAAGCAATTGCACAAAACTGGCCCTGCGAGCAGAGGCCCCCTCCCGCGCTGAGCGCGCGGAGCTCGGCCGCAGCCCTCGCAGCGGGGGCGGATCTCCCGGCCTGGCTTCCTGCACCCACACGGGACCAAAACAGCCCGCTCGGACAACTTTGTTTGCTCCTCCGTCCTGCAGCACGCTAGCTAGCGCAGCCAGCTCGCCGAAGTAACCGCCGGGCACGGCCCCGCGAGCTCGCGGCCTCCGCCGCCCGGGTCGCCCGCGCCGGAGCCG